ATTGCGTATTTGCTAAGACGTTTTGTATATTTGTAGTGATATAGTCTCTACACTTAGGACATCAAAAACTTGCTGCAACCAAAAATTCCCTGTGCTTGTTGAGATTGGACTTAAAATCTGCATTCATGCTAACACGAAAACTAGATTAAGGGATAAAGGAGGTGGATTTGATGTCCGATCATCGCTGTATAAAACGACAATCCAGGGCCATTAGGGCGTTGACGGTCGCAATTAGTCAGTTACTCTTTAAAGGCAACGATTAATCCATTTGAATATTCAAAACTCTATCAGCTTCTTGTAAGAAGAAAACGACAACTGAGCTGGAAACTGAATGTATCTGTTCATGCGTCATCTGTTGCAGCAGTCTTTAAATGGGCAAATATGCGTTTCGGTTGACCGCATATAAAGCGCAACTATATGAATGGGATAGACTTTCTCGAGGCAAAGATAAAGCAACGGCCCATCCTCCTAATAACCAAGTCAAGTACACCAGAAGGTGTACATGTGGAGAAGATTCTCTCAGTTTATAACCTTAATAAGCGTGATCCAAAGGCCTATGAAATACTTAACATTGAACTTAGGCAGGACGTCGCCAAACTTGACACATACCTTTATTTTAAACATCTTTGCCAGTGGAGAATGGTAGGCCTAAATGTGTCTTATTATTTTTTAAATTTAAACGTATAATTTTAACCACGTACCTTGAAATACAATAGTTGCATCTTTTTGTAAATCTTAAGTTTTATTTTAACAGCGTACTCTATAATTACGTACGTACGTAGGTAATAATACCCGTCATTTTTTGAGTAGTTGATTATACTAACAAGTACTATCCGGCAGGCATCCTGCTAAGCTGAATGTGTCGATTTTACTGTCTCCCGAAGACGGTTTTACGTTAACTAGCTATATAATCGCTTACGCACTGTACTCCGTCTAAAGCTCTTATCACATCAACCCTTCATTAAGCCCCCTACATGGGTACCACGTTTAGCAAAGTGTATCGAGCGGAATCGTTAAATAGAAGCTTTAAAACCGCTCCAAAAGCGCCACCAAATTCAAGGCATTTTTCCATTTAAGCAAAATTCTGTTTTAAAAATTTAAATAGTTAGGCATGTTCTAGGATTGTCTATGAAATACGATAGCCATTACACAATGGTAGTCAACCAACTTACTCTCATTTAGGACTCACGCAGCTACATGACGCCTTTTCTGTTGGTAAATCTAAGGCGGTGCCATTGTGTAAACAAGATTGCAATAAGGATTATTTGATTTCCACCAGAATTTATAGTGAATAGAAAGATGAAGAATAATATTCTAATTCCGTTCTTAACCACAACACATTGTTCAACAGGAAGATTGCGGAACTTCCTTTGAAGTATCCTCGGAAATACAGGAAAGTGGACATTTGTTAACTGAAGCGCCTATTTGGTGCGTGTGTCCATGCAACCATCGTACTTTGTGTGTACAAATATGTTGCAATATCTTAAGTGACTACCTTAAGTATACAGCTGAACCCCGCGTAATTGCGGTCCGGTATTCGCAGGTTCACTTATTCGCGTTTTTTTCGTAGAGCGTACCTAAAGTATTCACAGATTATTCATTTATTTTAGTAACTAAATGCACTCTTACAATAAAAATAACGGTTTGCTCATTTTCAAATCCCATTATTAAATGTAGGTGACTGAATACAGGGATAAAAGCCTAAGTTTCCGCTTTGATACGATTAACAACTTTAGATGATCTCACATGTGACTTTAAACCATACGTTTTCAGTAGCAGTTTTGTAAGATGATTTATCAATTATATTCAAGTTTTTAGTATAATAGTTTAAGGTAGACCTTCTGTTCGAACATTAAAATGGGCAATTATATGCGTTTTAGAGGTTCTCAAGTTTTCGTGGATTTTAGTTATTTTAGGATAACTGTAGTTCCTAGCCATCACGAATGCCAGGGATAGACTGCATGCATACATATTTCCATCGGATATTCGGAAGCATGTTTTACTAAAGAATTTTGCCAAACGTAAGCGAATGTTCAATACAGACGACATGACCACTGGATGAGCGAAAATTGGAAGAGAAAGATGACTATAGGTCTTACGCGAAGGGGATCTCCATACTACAATAATTACGTTACGGGGAAGGTCATTCAAATTTTTTTTGTGCCGTCTCAGAAAGGACCTTGTTTATTTTATCCACAAATATTAACTGTGATGACAAATTAACAAGCCATCAATAACTGAAGTATTATCGAAATATTTTAGGTTTGGTAAACGAGAGACTGTCGTCTCAGTTTCGCTTGTCCTTGTCGGAAATATGACTGCCCGGATTGACATTAGATAAGAAGACCTGAACGCCTGCATTGCGCTAGCCAATCAGTAAGATTACTCGCAAATTACCTTCAGGTTTCACGGTTCATTATATATATAGAAACGCGTCCATGCATCTCTCCAGTTTTGCGGACGATGCAATGCACAACTACAGAACTAATCGCTCACATCGACGATTGAACGGGATCTTCGTAAAAATTCTAAATTATAAACCCCGTTTTCCGACATCGTGCGTACTATCGACGTCGAAGGTACTCTTCTGACGCTTCCGAATGTTGGTTTATGCATTAGAATAATGACAGTTAGTAATTTTATTTCTAAACACTTATGCTGAAGAATTGTACCAGACAAACAGATATTCACCATAGTACCTTCCTGGCAGACCAACTTTTTATGTGTAGGGATCCCTTATACGGTCTTAGGCAAATAAATGCTTGAATTTGGAAGTCTTATAGAAGAATTTGCGACGTTAAAATAAAATGTTCACCAAATTTTGGCAGGCGAACGGTGTTTGGGTAACCATTTATCACTGATGTTCATCCTTCCTGAGCCGTGTCTCGAAGTATTATCGGTCCCATTTTCTGACAAAGATAGTAGAGATTAAACTAGTAGTTTATAAGTTGATCGCCGTTGTCAGTTAGTGGTCTAATTTTTGATAAACGTAATTCAATTGTTGCCTTTCATTAACAACAGTTTGCACCCTATATGGAGACTGTGTTTTTCTTTTAGACACCACACCTATACATTCGCGGAAAATATATTGCCGGTGGGAAAGACATCATTGAGCTGCACGAATCGGGGAAACTGTACAAAATACTGAGGGAAAATGGATTCTGTTGATTTCGGGAATCCACTAAGACTTTATGTCTGAGGGAAAGCAAATAAAAGTCTTCTCCCCTACTCCAACTACCGTTTTCCGGTAATAAAGACGAATATCAGCCTACAACTTAAACTTTTCGCTAAAAAGCAGCACTACTGCTTACGATAAAATGCCATCATTTAGGACGTATCGGTGCAGCCCAAGTGTAGACTTGATAAAGTAACATAGGGACCAAACACCAACTGTCTTGGTCTTCTTGGGCCCGACCCAAAATCTTCTTACTATCCGTTCTACATGATAGTCAGTAAAAATAAGAAAGGTCAGGATGACTCCTGAGAGCAGTCTGTAATTGAGTCACCTGAAGAAGATAATCAATCAATAAAAAGGTGTGCCGTAAAAAATGAAGTTATTGGAGAAGGAATTGTGCAAAAGGCCGGCTCATACTGCACTTCCTATATTCATTCCGTCAGCTAGTACAGACGCCAGCATCGGTAGTACGGTTCTTGATGGGAGAGGCTAGTTGAATGTCTGCAGTCAGGATAGAGTTGAGAGGGCGTAAATCGAGGCAAGCCATGATGTGTTCAGGGCCTCAAACATGTACTTACTCGAAATAGCATAAACCCAGATTCCACACTCCTTGCGAAAGGGGTATGAGCCACAGCATTGACTTCAAATCAACGTCACCTCTGACTAATATTAGCGTCAGAAACAGTACCAGTACTACTAAAACTCAGCTGCATTGGTAGTCAGTAATAGTAGTAGTGGTATTAGAAGTAGTAGTAGTAGTAGTAGTAGTAGTAGTAGTAGTAGTAGTAGT